CTATGCCTTGACGTTTCCTGAACTGCCAACATTTAGGCAGTGTCTCAGGGAAAACAGGAGGAAGAGAGTTTTATTGGCTAGTTTTAAAAGGACCTGGGTATCATATACACAACTTCAAGTCAAATTGTGAACCCTACCAACATAAGAAATAATACCACCCTTTCTTTTTCTTCACACATGGTTTAAGATGATGAGTCTTTCCTGGCCTCTTAAAATGTTCCATAATGTTCATTCATTCAGCAAGCAGTTAATTGCCTTTGTCAGACCCTAGGCAAGGTACCAGGATAGAAAGAGAAATGAGACACAGTCCATGGCCTGGAGCAGCATACAGCCCAGTAGAGCCAAGGAGACACATAAGTGAGTAAGCTTCGGGTATAGGGTTATCAAGAGAGTTAAGTTCAAGTCCCAACTCTGCCACTTACTAGTTGTGGAGTCTTGGTTAAATCATGTAACCTCTCAGCCTCGGTGGCTTTATCTAGTAGGGAGGAGGTTTAAATGGACAGGTCTATAGAACCTGTTTTACACACATAGTAACTCTTACTATTATGCCCTGTTCCAGGGACTGTATGTAAGTGTATGTGAGGTCCCACAGGAACACAGAAGAGGGTGATATGAGAATCAGGGATACTTAATTTGGGTGAAAGAGTGACCTCTGACTGAACTGTATTGCTAGGTGACAGTTGCTGGGAAGAATATCTACCCAGTATGTTGGAGTTCCTTTTCTCCTGGAATTAACCTTAAATAATCCAACATAATGAGCTGGAGATTGTCCATGCACCCAGCACCGAGACCACCTGGCTCTACAAGTAGCTCTCAGGACTCACAGGACCTGGAATGTCTATGTGCCCTGAAATGTCTGCATTTCTCATTTCTCCTCCTATTCTTTTTTTTTGGCACAGAATTATTATTCCTATTATTTTATTTTACTTGTATTGATTTTAGAGAGGAAGGGAGAAGGAGAGAGAGAGAGATAGAAACATCAATGATGTGAGAGAATCATTGATCAGCTGCCTCCTGTTCAATAGGATCCCCTATTGAGGATTGAGCCCATAACCTAGACACGTGCCCTTGACTGGAATCAAACCTAGAACCCGTCAGTCCCCAGGCTGACACTCTATCCACTGAGCCATACTGGCTAGGGCTCCTCTTTCTATTCTTTCTCCTCCAGATTATGAACTTGAATAGCCTTTGGCCTGGTCTGCACACTGTCACCAGTGACCTGTCTAAAATATGAACTTGATAATGGCCTTCCTACATGAAATCCTCTTGGGATTTCCCAGACTTCAGGATAAAATTCACACACTTTCATGTGGCCCACTCGGCCCAGGCTCTTCTTGACACGGTTTCTGCCTTCTTTGCCGGACTTACCTCTTAGTTTTCCAATATGTGTTACCCTCTTGTTAAAACCATCACCAGACTGGGCATTCTCCCTCCTGAGTATGAACATACTTTTTAAGCCTCAGCTTGGTGTGACCTTCTGGCTTCCTTTCCTGACCCACCCACCCTGGGTTAGCTGCTGAGTCCTCACTACACCTGCCCAGATTCTGCCGTGACTCCTGCCTCCCTGTCAGCCTCTCTGCAGTGTGGGCTCCTAGGACTCATAAATCATTTGTCTCCCCACCTGGCTCAGCCCTGACTCAGGCAGTGTTTGTGAGCAAATCACAGAACCTTAGAGAGAATATTCACTATCCTCCTAATTGTAGGCGCACAAATGCCCTCTGCAGAGGTTTAACTGGATGCCAGTGAAAGGGCTACTTCAACTGCCACCTCTTCTGTGTGAAGGGGAGAGCGGAAGACCATCTGGAGTGGAGACAAAAATGAGTATTGTTCCTGGCAAAAGGGCCACTGGTTATTCTTGATGATCCAAGTACAGCATGGGAAGGTCCTAGTGTCCTCACAAAAAGCCTAACTAGAGCTGGTCTGTTTCTGAGTGGTCCTTGGAGGGCAGGGGAGAGGAGAGGAAGCACATGTTGGAGCAGTTCCACTGGAGCCTGGAGCTGGGCTATCCTCTAGAAAGCAGATCTAACTGGGAAGTAAGCAAGTTTTAACTTCATAGCCCAATTCTGGAGCCCATGTCAGCTGTTTTGGAGCCTCAGTCTAGCCCCCGCTAGGTAAGTGTCCAGGCATTAGACAAGAAAAGGCTTCATTGACAAGACTGTGTGGTAGCAAGGAATGCCAAAGGTGGCTGCCCAGGCCCCAGTGGTCCCAGCCCATCCCACCCCCAATTCAGACTGATGAAGTCCCCTGGGGGCCTTTGATAATTGTTTACAGGGCCCCTAAGTAAGAAGATTCTGGACCATCTGCCAGGTTTGTGCTTGAATGATGATTGAAAATGTAAAAATGTATGGCGAGTTCATGTTGATTGCACAGCAATGAGGAGCCCAGGAGCCCACCAAGAGCCCCTTGTGGTTCCATGCTCCAATGGGTAGTCTTTTCCCCTTAAGCAGATGTTCACTGACTCCCAGCACTGTCACTGGAAAAGGGCTCCAGGTGAGGTTTGGCTAAGCAGGATGCAGTTCTTACTAGTGGGTGTCAGAGGAAAGGTAGGACCTATTTTGTGTTGCTTTGCTTTATTTTTGCAGTGATGAGATAGAGCTTCCACAGATGTGGAATTAACCAGGCTCTGAACCAGAGCTGCTACAGCATCCAATCCAACCCCACCCCACATCCTAGGCCCCCATCATCTTCATTTCCCTTTCCATCTGCCTCCTTAGAAACATGGATGTGGGCTTTCTGAGCCCTCATGCACCTGTGCCAAAGCAGGGACACCTTAAGATCACCTGTGAGCCTGTGGCAGGTACAGAGAATTTCAAACAGAAGGAATTTAATATAAAACATTGGTTGCACGTGTGACGAAGGAGGCTATAGGGCCTAGTGAAATAACACAGAGTGGGATAATATGGCAAGAGACATGGCTTCCTTGAGCTGTAGGGACCAGGGAGGAGGCAGCGTGACTGGAGCCTGGAGTCAGGCTCACCTGATAGACAGGAGCCTTAGAGATGCAGCTCCTGGGAATTACCTTGCTTTCTCCTATTCGCTCACCTTCCACTCTGCCCTCCTTGACCTCACACTGAGCCCAGCCAGGAATCCGCTGATATGGGAGCCTGGGAAGTCCATTCTGCTGTTCAGAGACTGGGGAGGGCAGGAGCGCGTCTGAAAGCAAACAGGACACACACAAACACAGCGACCTCACCTCCTCCTGCTTCACCTTCACCCTTTTCCTCATGGTCACAACACATCGTTCTTTAGCCATTGTCCTTCCTTCTGTCTAATCTTAGAGAAAGAGATGTCCTTGGTTTTCCTGAGAGCTGGAACTGGCATGAGATGTAACTGAAATGCCTACAAAACCCAGAACACATAGGGTAGACCCTCGCAACCCCCACATCTCCAGTAAAGGAGCGGGAACTGTCTTTGGAAGCAGGTGGCAAGGGTGCTTCTGACACCAAGCTGTGGGCGGGGGAGACACTGCATGCAGAAACTCCTGGGGAAAATGCCTCCTGCTATGAAAAAGCTGCCAATACCTTCCTTGATTTTTTAAAAATATATTTTATTGATTTCTTACAGAGAGGAAGAGAGAGGGATAGAAAACTAGAAACATCAATGAGAGAGAAACATCGATCATCTGCCTCCTGCACAACCCCCACAGGAGATGTGCCCGCAACCAAGGTACATGCCCTTGACCGGAATCAACCCCGGGACCTTTCAGTCCGCAGGCCGATGCTCCATCCACTGAGCCAAACTGGTTTCAGCCCTTTCTTGATTTTTATAAGCCCCAATAACAGACTCACATTTTAACTAATACAGTCAAGCTATTTCTATTAGCCAAGGCCCTGACATAAATGTGCACTTATTAAAATTGAATCAAGGATGATCTTTCTTGGTGAGTGCTTCCTCCCTTCTATAGACAAGGAAATTGAGGCCAATGCTACCAAAGCCTGAAATTGTTGTCTGCATTAGAGTGAGGAGTTGTAAAAGGCATGGAAACCATCTCCCCAGTGAACTGATCCCTGCCAGCCATCCACTGAATTGCTTTTTGGACCTGGGAGAGTTCAGCTGGAAGGAAAGCGCACACATCTTCACAATCAGGCTGCACAGGCTCCAGCAGCAGAGGGGAGCTGGCCAGCGTACTCAGTGCCCCTGGAGACACATCAAGACCAAGATGGTATGATAGGCTGCCCGAGGGTCTCAGCAGTGTCAGGCTGGGTCGCTGATGCACCCCTAGAGCCCAGCCCTATGCCGGGCACATGATAAAAACCCATTATTTACATAATAAACAAAATAAGTCAAAATCAGAAGATCTTAGTCATTAGATACTATCTGTGCCACTTTCAGCTTTCCATGGAAGCTCTGAGTCTCAGTCCCACCATCTGTAAACTGGGGATAACAATGCAACCCCATTTGCTTCTCAGTATTATTGTTAAGATCGGATAAATTCATATTCTTGAGTTTAGTTTGTCCTAGTAAGCAAAGACATTGTTTTTATAATGCTTTAAATTAATAAAAAAAAATTCTCATGCCAATGCTTGCACACAACACACATTTATTAAGATGCAGCCAAGTGAGATGTGCCAGGCCCTCCTCCGAGTACAACCTTCTTTATTGATGTGTGACAATGCCCACAAGCTGGGTGAGCGACATCATCAAAACCAAATGCCAGCCTTTTACAGACTTGGCCCAAACAATGTAGCCAAAGCACCATTCCAAACGGCAAGAAATCTGACATTCCATTCACAGTCCTGCTTTCCATTGTTATTGACACACACACTTGCATTTTAATGCTCATTTCAAATTCTCATTTAAAAAAAAAAAGCTTGTATTTGAACTTAGCAGAAAGCGGAGCTATCAGTGAAGGACAATGCAAGAGCAAGGTAAAGCTGCTTTTCATCCACACTGGACTAAATTATAAGCATTTCGCCATTCACGGGGGCTCTAATAATATGTGCACATAAGCAATACTGAGGCCGGATGGCTGGTGTGGGTGTCTACCCAGCAACTTCACTTTACTCTGGGTCCTTATCCTCCTCTGAAAAATGGGGGACCGACTTCTTTGCAACAACGTTGTCCAGTCTCTGTCCTTGTAGATATGGGTTGATACTCTGAAAAAAAAAAAAAAAAATATATATATATATATATATATATATATAGCTTGGTATTATACCTGAACATCGATACAGACATCTCACAAAATAGGTGAATGAGGTCTATTGGGTTAACTATTAGGTAACAAATAATTACTCCAGTGAACTAACCAACATCTCAGTGGGAGGAGAAATGCTGTCTGACAGATGTGTCTAATTGTGTCTTTCACACAGCTATAAAGCCCTTATTGGATGCATTATGCCCCCTCCTTTTCTTGGCACGAAGATTTGGAATTAACCAGCAAATAGGCTCTCACTATTAACTTAGATACACAAGCCCATTGTGAAAGAGAACTGTTATTCTATGGCCTTAATAGGGGGAGAGAGAATCTGAAATGCATTAAGTTATTTTACAAGATGAAGGTTCTAAAGATCACCAAGCAGGGCCAAGGTAAAATTCAATTTGCATACTAGTAACAGGTCATTCTATAATGTTGACTCTTCCATGCCAGCATTCTCCTAAAGAGGATTCAGCAGGGATCTGTAATCATTTCCTCCTTCCCTCAGTCAAATGGAAAAGCTGAAGAAAAAAAGGAGGAAGTCATGTGGAAGGCTCCATTATTTTTGACTCAAGACTCCATGGTCTGAAATCTCTTTTATCTGTTGGTATTCTGAATGAGTCAAGGTTTTTCCATTCCTTCTTTAATACATATTTTTTTGAGGTTTGGATTTGAATTAGTAATTGCAGCTTTACAACATAGCCTTTAGTAAGTAGAAAAATTTTCAAAAGTTTAGAAATATTGGTTATTCAAGTCACCTTCCAATAACTGAACAAAAATACAGGAAAGAAGCTGTAGTTGCTAATGATCTGTAATCCCAATGCATACAAAGTCCCTAGGGATGATTGGGCAGAGCTCACAAGTTGGCTGTGACCTTTGAAAGGTGAGCAGACATTCTCCAAAGAGGAAGACTGGGACTAAGCTTAGTATTTGTAAATGTCCTTCCATATTCTGATGGGTAATGAAGCATGGAAGTCCCACTCACCCTGAAAAAATGCATCACAAACCAGCTGATAATTTAAAAGCATGTAATGTCCTCAGAGATCTGAAAAGTGACATGTCACAAAAGATGCTAGGAAAGCATCTTTAAAATAACATCTCTTCTATAACAAGAAGATTGTCAACTAGAATGGGTTAGCCTATCCCAAGGATTTATATCAGGATCTTTGGTAGGTGGAGCAAATGTGAACTGAAAAAGCATATTCGTATCATAAATCTCTTGAGTAATTTTTAGTAATAATATTTATTCTGAAAATTCTACTACCTTAAAAAAGGATAGTAGGTTTATGTGTTTAATCAACAGTGGAATACAAGGTTGATAGCTCTTTATTAGTAAATAAAACAAATTGTAAACCTCAAATATTAACAAGACTAGAGGACTGGTGCATGAAAATTCATGCACTGGAGTGGGGGCATCCCTTAGCCCAGCCTGCTCTGCTCCCTTTCACAGTCCGGATGCCCAAAGGGGCAGGAGGTGACCTGGTGATCAGGGGAAGGCGATGCCCCATCACATCTCTGCTGCTATCACAAGCCTCAGTCGGTCCTGGTTACCTGAGCCTTGGGGGCCCTAAGTGGCTAGGCAGCTGCCATCCGAGGCTTGCCTGCACCTTGGGCTGGCTCTGGGCAGTTAGGGGGCTGAGGAACTCTAGAGGCAGGCATTCAGAGCAGCCGGGCCCACCTGAGAGTGGGCCTGGCCTTGCTGCATGCCTGCCACTCCAGCGGGGCTAAGGGCACTGGGCACCACCATCTTGTGGCTGTGGGTGCCTCCATCTTTGAGAGTGGGGCAATCAAGTAGCATATACCCTCTTTATTGGCTGTGGATGCTGCCATCTTTGAGGAAGGGAGAGTCATTTAGCATATCCCCTCTTTATTAGATGGGATACAGCTTCAGAGTTTAAAATTTTGTTAAGTTATTTAAAGGTGAATTAACCCTTTATTCATGAAGCAAGTAGGAATTCGATTGAAAATTAGCAAATATGGAACCTTTCATAAAACCACCTGGGGCTCCATTGTAACTTTGGGGAGAATCCTCTCGAGGAGGGAGTTTTATGGGAGATAGTCCTTCAGACCAGACCCAGACCATGGCAAAGATTAGAGGGAAGGGGGAGTAAGTTAATGAAGAAGTAAAAGGAGCAATCAGTTGAACTTTGCTGATGAATGCTTAACTATTAGCATTGAATCCTAAACTTAAGAGTAATAATAATAATAATGACACTTCGTTTTAATTATCCTCTGGAGAACTTAAGACACTTATGGATTTATCTTTGATGGAAGACCAGCCAGGATACAAAGTGAGCATTATTCAGTTACACAATTGAGAACCATTGGGATTGAATCCCTACTTTCCTGTCCTCTGGAAACCCACAGCAAATACTGAGCTTCATTGGAGAAAGCCTTAGTTTTTCCCAAAAGGAAACCCCTAAATTCTATGGATTCATGCACTTGAGGTGGTAAAGTCTTCAGTCAAGATGGGAACACCATCTGAGGCATGATGACAGGGGAGGCAAGTTCTATTTTTCAACAGTCCTGAGAGGTTCAGGGTTTATGGCATGAGCTTGGGTCTTTATAGATGCCTGAGAATAGAAAGAACTTGATACCTCTGGGTCACAGTGTCCCATATTTTCACAAATTCTAAGCCTTTCCTACGAGGAGGAAGTTGAGGTCAAAACAAAACCTTTATAATACGTGTTCTAGCCAGAATTCTGATTTTGATAATCATGGTCTCATCGCTGAACCTAAATCGTGACCCACAGTCATTACTCAAGTCAGGGCAGAATTTGGGCCCATGATTGGTCTTATTTAGAAATGTCCTTGCTGTGCTATGGAGAGATATTCAAGCTATTTTGCTGGTAAATTATGTGTTTTTGAGCTGGAATAGAATTTCTTGAGGATCTCTCAAGCACACATAACACCCTTCAGACCCTTCCTGCCACCATCTGCCACTGGACACTGTAATTATCTGAGAAAAACCCTTAACAACTCTTCACACTCCCACAGATCTGTTTCCAGACATCAAAACGGAATCTAGCATAGAAAATTGGCCATGGGATTTCTGTGTCTTGTCAGATGGCATAGAGTTTGGAAATCTCTGTTGCAGGGTCCTGAGAATGAATGCTGAGTTAAAAACCCCATTTCCCCACCCCCTAAGCACTCTGACTAGACTCGGCAAAACTCTCACTCAGCATAGCTGTCATGACCACTGTCCAGAGTCCCAGATTCCACTAGGACCCCAGCACTTACTATTCTAAACAATCAGCCAGTGGCCTTGGGTACATGGTTTGCTTTGTATATTTTAATAAAGTTGGTTACTCTCTGGTAGCACTTTGCTATGTTTAATACTAGGATTTTAACTTTTTCTCGTGCTGATCAGAGAATGGTGGCAGGTGGCTGGCATTTCTATGTAGGAAGGTGCCAGTGGATTAGCTGAGTGGACAGTGATCACTGATTAAATCACGGTGCCATCAAGTGCGTGAGAAACCCAAAGCAAATTCAACCACTTTACACAAGGCAACACCACAGTGGCTGAGTATGATGCAACCAGACCAAAGTCCCACTCTGGCAGGCCTGGGTGGTTGGTAGATTCAGAGGTCAGCAAACCAGAAAAAAAAAAACAAAAACAAAAAAACAAAAACGGTTTGGCTCAGCGGTAGAGCATCGGTCTGCGGGACTGAAAGGTCCCAGGTTTGATTCCGGTCAAGGGCATGTACGTTGGTTGTGGGCACATCCCCAGTGGAGGGTGTGCAAGAAGCAGCTGGTCGATGTTTCTCTCTCATCGACGTTTCTAGCTCTCTATCTCTCTCCCTTCCTCTCTGTAAAAATCAATAAAATATATTAAAAAACAGAGGTCAGCAAACCAATTTAATCGAGCTGGGTGGTGTTTACATCAATCTAGATAGGCCAAGAGAAAAGGTATGTGGGAAGAATGAGATTTGTTCTTCCCCTCTTTTGTCCCCACATTCCTTCAGCATTGCTGCTGGAGCATGCCTTTCATCACTTCCATGTCCTTGTCTGGTGTGCTTATGAAATTGATGCAGGTATGTGAACCATCTCCCAGTGGCCTACAGACCCTCTGAGGAAAGACATATCCTCACGTACACCCAGGCAAGAGATGCAATACAAGTTGCCTGTCAACAATGGAGGTGATAGAATCACCACAAAACCGGGCTGTGCACTAAAAGCCATGTACGAATGCTTGAGAAAGTCACCCCAGAAACCAATACGGGCTGTGTGGGTGAGGCCTGGTCACAGGGACCACTGCTCTGCCCTCCCAGGACTGCTCCATCCCAACAACTGAAGGTTACAGCTTGGTTGTGCATCTCTGGATAAAGGTCTCTGCAATGCCCGGAGGCGCCTCCCTGTCATCAACATCCCATAATCGGGAAAATACAGCACTCTGACACCCAATGCCCCACTCAGAGAGCTCCGGCCATCCCAGCCACCACCAGCCCGCTGTGCATTACCCTCCGCTTTCGTCTCTGTCCTGCCTTCATCTTCTCAAAGAGGATCTTGTTCTAGAGTGGGAAGAAGAGACAACAAATACATGGGTCAGATTTGGTGAGCCTCTGTTTTAGAAGCAATACTTGATGTATCCTCTGGATATTTGCATATCATCTTTTGGAAACAAAACTAGATGAAAAAAACAAAAAACAAAAAACAAATGAAAGGAATGTCGTATCAGAAAGCTAGACCACGATGGGGATGCTGGTGGTTGTGAGGCTCTGGATAAAGGTCTCTGCAATGCCCTGAGGCACCTCCCTGTCATCAACATCCCATAAACGGAAAAATACGGCACTCTGACACCCAAGCGTGTTGGAAACCCATCTCCTCGCTGTGAACAGCCTTTGTTCAAAACAAACAATGTTGTGTCACTTTCCTTTTGGGCCTAACTCCCTTTTTATGAGCTGTACACATAAACTTTTCTCTAGAGCGGTGCCCGCCCATGGATAACAATCCTCTAGGTAAATAAATGGAACTCTGACTTCGGCAGCCTCCCTCCCGTGGCTTTAGTCTGCGCACCCAGTCAAGACTATCAGAAAACCATTTGGTCTATAACAATTTTAATAGAGTGAGCCTTTTAAAAACTGCCAAAAAAAACTTCTTGGCAGAAGGAAAGTTATGTTGCTGGGGAGGGGGGGAAGGGGAGCGGGATCCGTTACCACAGTTTGTATAAGTGTTTCCACATATTGCTGTATTTCAAACACACAGGGGCTGAAATGAGCTCTAGAATATCGGACACGTGCTCAGCAGATTTCCCTTCTGTCGGGATCACAAGACAGACATGTAACCTGGAGGCACAAGGGGAGGAGGGAAGCTGGGGGCTTTACTTATGGGTTGTTGTGGTTTTTTGTGTGTGTTTTGTTTTTTTTTTAATCAGAAGGGAACTAAAGTATAAAAAAGGTGATTCATCCTACTCTAAATAAAATACTAATATTGACTTTTTTTTTTTTAAAGGAGATGACAGAGTTTTGGTAAGGAACAAGTTTATACAGCACTTGTATCCTCGGAACTGTCTGGATAGAAAGAATTTTTTTATGGCGGATTTGGAAATGAAAGTGACACATGCCAAGAATGAGCTTTGTAATTTTCATGTTCATTAAAATCTACCTCATCCGCAATTTACAATGTGTATTTCTTGCCCAACCTCAACTATGCAGGGAGGCCGCACCAGGGAGGGAGGGACCCCTCGCTGCCAAAGGCCATTCTGGCCATGGCCTCCATCTCACGCTCCCTTGGGGACTGAGGAGTTAATCTCAGATGCAGTCTTGCCGTTTGCAACAGCATGGATGGACCTAGAGGGGATTGTGCTGAAGGAAATAAATCAGGCAAAGGAAGACTAATACCATATAATTTCACACATATGTGGAATATGAAGAAAAAAAAATCAACAAATCATAAGCAAATTCATAGAGGCAAACAGCTCATTGGTGGTGACCAGAGATAAAGCGGGGGGGAGGGGGGGAGAGGGCAAACAGGTAAAAGGGGTCAGGGGGTAAAATGTATGGTGATGGATGCAAATTAGACTCTTGGTAGTGAGCACACTATAGTGTATACAATATTGAATTATAATGTCATATATCTGAAACTTATATCATGTTATAAACCAATGTCACCTCAACTTAAAATATACATATACATACATATATACATGTACATATACATGTACATATACATATACATATAACAAATGTATATATGGAGGAAGGTTGAACATAGTCATTTACTGGCGGAATGAGTAATATCGCTGTAAGGCTGTTGACCAGTGTTGTCTTTCTGGGATGTAACAATTCCTGATGCAGAGAGAATATCCTGGGAGTTTGTGCCCGAGCTGGGGAAAAGGGTGGGGAAAAAGGGTGAGGATAGGAGCTTCTTCATGTGCACTTCCATGTTCAACTGCCTGAGCAGGGGAGGGACTGTGCAGGGACCTGAGAGCTGGTGCCATCATATAAGCTGGCCCATCAGTGTGGAGGAGCTCCTCGGGGCCATGAGAGCCTTCCTTCAAAAGGAAGTGCAAAAGGCTGGCAAGTCTTCCTCTCAAAGATGGCCCCTGTGTTTCCCTAAGGACCAGGGTTAGGGTTAGCAGGATGGTGCTGTCCCACCTCTGCATGAACGTGCTGGGGCGCAGTGATCAGCCCTGCTTTGTGTGGATTCAAGGGCAGGGACCGGCAGGTGTCGTGTGGATAGCAGAAGTCTAAGAAGAAACCAGCCCCTTTGCCTGACACCCATTCCTTGCTGGTGGGTGAGGAGGGGCAAGTGGTGAGCCTGCTTCCCATGTGAGTAGCAGGTTCGAGTTCATAAACAGGGCTTTCTCTGGTGCCATCAAGATTTTGGACAACTGCCCAGATGTTGGGTTTCAAATTCCATTCTTAAATGGAACCAGGGAGGCTCCTTGAAGGAATGTCTGTTTCCAGAGCTAGGGCAGGGAAAGCACAAGGATGAATGGATCTGGAATATCTAATTGGGTCAGAAAGTTAGGAAATGCTCAAAAAATAAAAACAAAAAAATGATGGGACATGTCAAAAGAAAAAAAACCAACATACAAAGATTCCCACTGGCTAACTGTACACCAAAGTAAATAATGGGCATCAAATATTTAATATTGATATTAAATATACACAATTTTAAGTAAATAAACAAATCAAGGAAAACTCTTGCTTAGAGTAGAATGCCAACCAATAAATGCATAAAAATAATAAAGAAAATCGCCATTAAAATTACCATAGTTATCACTGATTTTGGTGAGAGTCATTAATGGATACTAAAATTGTTGGTTAAAGTTTAATGGAGACAGAATATTCACACAACCCCAAAGTATCCTTCCACAGGCTAATTACTAATTTCAAAAGAGAAACTGGTGATTTTACACTGAAGAAAGCTGGCAGACACTACTTTAACCAGGTTAGCACCAATTCTGAAACCAATGGGTGTCACGTACTACTTGGCACAAAACACTAAAATACAAAGGCATAACTCCACTCTGATCACATGAGAAATGCAACGAACACCAACTGAAGAACATTCGATTCTTCAGACATTGCTGAGGTTATGAAAGGCAGAGAGGGTCCTTGCCTCTCATTTCTCCCTCGGCTCACGTTCTGGCCATGATCAGCTGCTTCTGTGTAAGGAAGAGCCTCTAGTTGTCCATGCTGCCGATGAAAAGATGTGATAAGCACTTGGAAAGGAAAAATATTTGCTGTCAAGACAACTTTTTCCTGAGTAACACTTTGGGATTAATGTGTGGAAGGGAGTGACTGGCATTTAGAGCAGCCTGCCTTTGGTCATAGCCACTCAATGTTGTGGGTACACTCACTGTCTGAAAGGCAACCAGTAGATAAGACTTGATAGGATCATGCTCAGGACACATTCTGAATGGTGAGCCATGGAAAAGGTAAGGGACTTATCCAATTTTAAAAGAACTCCTCGAGTCAGTTTGGTTCAAATCCCAGCTCTGCCAATCATCAGCTCTGTGGTATTAGGCAGCCTATTCCAACGCCCTAAGTCTGTGTTTTCTCATCTGTAAAATGAGAATAATAGGAATGAGCAGCTTTGAATGATATAATTCAGTAAAATATTTAATATAGTGTTTGGTATATAATATGTGCTCAATAAATATTACTATCTATTTGTGTATTACAAAAGACAATTGCCATTCATCTTTGTATTCCAATCACCTAACACATGCCTGGAAGGCATATGATGTACATTCCATAAATGTGTCTTGATGCATTAACAAAGATAAAAATGCAGGAAACAAGACAGACACTGATATTTATATGTGAATCACTGCTAAAGACCCAGCTCGGCTCCAGCTAATGTCAAAAACAGAGAAACAGAATTAGCAAACAAGGAATCAGGGTCTTGCATGCAGTTTCATGTAAAAGATAATTATTTTGTTAACTTGAAGGATTGTCGACACGCTTGAGGCCATCATTCTGTATATATACTAGGAAGCTTGTAAACCCCAGTTTAGCAGAGCAAGGCATACTCAATTCACACTTTCATTTACTGCTAGGTGGCAATGAGAAATTAAATGAAGAAAACTTAAGTTTAAACAAACACATAATTATAGCTGATAAAAGATTTGTAAACATTGCTCCATGGTCACTGATCGGTAATAGTACTTCCCTTTTTATTTAGTACTAACTTGTTGGCTTGAGCTCTGACATAGAGACTAGAAATGACTGAGAAAACAAATTGGTATTTAGAGAAGGATGAAGGATGGTGGTTGGTCTCTCACTGGAGCACTGAGAGTGAGTGGAACTTGGTGAGAGAGCACTAAAGGTTTTTAAGAAGAGGCAAGGAAAGTTGGCAAGAGAGAAGTTTCCATTTCTCCTGCTTCCCCAAGTTGGGGTCTCTGCCCTCAGTCAGACTCCTCTCAGTTTCCCCCTTGCTTCCTTTTTCTTTTCCAGCCTGCCAGTTATGCAGGCTACCTTCTCACCTTACTCCTCAATGCCGCCTCTTTTAGCAACTTTGACTTCCTCAATGAGTATTATACAATTGGCCACGAGTCCTCAGTCCTAAATCTTCCTCTACCCTTATCTTCCACCTTTCCACCATGGCAGAACTAGAGCATGTTACTGAATGAGATAATTCAGTAAAATATTTAACATAGTGTCTGGATGATGCTAGGTTGTGTTCATTTTATTTTCATGCAGTTCTTCTCAACCAGAAGACTATCAGCTCTGTGAAGACCAATATCATGTCTTGATGACAATTGCATATTGAGCACCCAGCACGGTGCTTGGAATGAAGCAGATGTAATATCTTCCACTTAATCTTTGTTGAACCTGTCCTGGCTTCTGTTTGGCAATACTTCTGCCCATTTCTTGTAATCCTCTGTGATCTTCTACTCTCTCCCTCCCTCTCTGCTCCCTTCTTTCCTTCCCACCTCCCTCTCTTGTTCCTCCTTTCTTTTTAAGATTCCCTCAGAGGGAAAGTTCATATCATCCACTTCATATAAGCCTGACCTACCTCATCTTTCCTCCTCATACTATACTTATGCTATACTTACCAATACTATACTTACCAATGTTAGTCAGGTCCCCGGCCTCCTTAGAAATGTCTTCGAGCCTCATCATGTTGATGACTTTCACTTGAATTTACAATGATCACAGCCACTGCTTCAGAGCTGGAATTACTTCCTTTATTTCCTAGCTTTAAACCCTTCTGCCACCAGGATAAGTTCCTTTAGAGAAGCTTTTCGTGATTCCAGTCTCCTATTTAAGAACCTATAGATGTTTGCCAATGTAATTCAACATATTCAAACTCTCCTAGTAGGCTTCAGCATGGCTCCCCATGCCAAGTCTCCCTAACAGAACTGCTTATGAAAAAGAAGAGAAATAAAATGATGCATATTGCAAGAAGCAAGATGTGTGCACCTGAAGGTTGCCTGTTGAATCAACTCAGTGCAATGTTAAAGCAAGATGATGAAAACAGTTAACGAGCAAGGACATCTTCTTCTAAAACAGTGTAAAAGGAAGGGAGCGTGTTTAGTCCTGAGATTACAAAATTCCTGGTAAAGTCGAAGCAAGGTCAGCTGCCAGTAATGAGCTGAGAAGGGATTGATAGCTTTAGAAGGGCTTAGGAAGTTAGGAATATCTGCTCATTCACTCCTTCCACAGATGTATTGACTACTGACTGATATGTGAACGAACACTCCCTGGTATTTTTCCACTTTTCTCACGTGGCTTCAGCATCCAACTTCATGGGCCCAACCTCAGGGACACAGATACATCCCCACTCAACTGGGACCTCATTTGGCCCATTGTTCCGGCCTGCCTTCACCATCTTGAATCCCAACTGTCACTCAGTGCAAGCCCTTCCAACCTGGTGTCATCCTTTGAGAATCTGACGATCACACCTTCTATATTTTTTTAATTAGAAACATTTATTAAAATGTGGACATGCAGGATGCCACATGAAATCTCTCTCTCTGTTAACGTGGACCCTTGAACAAGCTCCCTTTTGGGGACGTCCTCTTGCCTGGGCTATGTCTCCCCACTGCTCCCAATAGGACTTCGTGAAAGATCTCATCCAATACTTTGCTGAAGTCCAAGTGTACCACACTCACTTCATTTCCCTCATCGAGCTGGCAAGTAAGTGAATAATGCTGGCAAGTAGAATACAATTAGTTTGACAAAACTTGTTTTTAGCAAACCTGTGCCAAATGGTCATGCTTTCTCTTTCCAAGTGCTTATAAACAATTTCCTTAACTGGCAATTATAGATCCTTGCCTGGTATTGACAGCAAGCTCACGGCTGCAGTTTTTTTCTTTCCTTAACTCAGAATTACATACATCTGTTTCTAAGCTTCTGGCATCATTTTTCCTTAGTTCTGCAGAGGTCATTACTCTACTCTAGAGATAAAAATTTGCAAATTTTCTCAGTATCCTTTTTAAAAAATAATCATACATTTCCCTTCAGAGCTGCATGAAACCCTGGTGACACTTCCGGATGTATTAGGAGGTAGACTGTGGGGTGGACCGCAGTGGAAGCTTCTGCTGTCTATAGCTAATAAGATGGGTTCAGGCCATCAAATCTTCAGATTGGCTGGGATATTGTGTCCTAGAGTGCGGTTTGGACTAGAACTACTTAAAGTCCCTCTCAACCAGAGATTTCTGAAAAATCAGCCACTAAACAATTTTTCTTCTCTCTCCCCACCCATATTGCTCATCTCTGTCATCAGTACCTTCAGAGCAGCAGAGTATAAAACCCACAAGTAACTAAGATTGGACTTACCCACTTGCCCAAGCCTGGGAAGTCATGTTCAGGATCATACAGGTGCTGGTTCAACTGGAATTCTTGACTGAACTCCGCTGTGTCGGGGGTGTGTTCTAGACATCCATCATCTGCTGCAAACAGCAAAGGGCTTGAGGAACGGCCAAGGCATTTATCATTATTCCAAAAGAGTTCATTTATTAAAAACCACCAGACACCCAAAGGTCAGACTGTATTCACATCAGTCACTCAAAGTCACTTTTCCTCTGGGATTTGTTCATCCCAAATGCTCGTACCTGTGGCTGAGACTGTTTGGCTGCCCACCAAACCCACTTTCCCTTTCCCCTCTGCACACAGCCAATTTTCCAGCCGTGCTTTGCAATGGGGCGGTGCTGTGGACCTGAGTTTGGACCAATGGGACGTGGGCAGAAATGATATATTGCATTTCCAGGCCTAGCCCATACAAACCTCGTATATAACCCCACTCCCTGTTCCACGCCCGAATCGTTGTTCTGCTTTATACATGTAGACAATCAGGGCAACTATGTGGAATTTAATGGACAAACTGAACTAACAAGCAAAATAGACACAGACTCATAGATAGAGAGCAGGCAGACAGCTCGGGTTGGGGGCAGATGTTGGGGGTGGTGGGGGAATTAAGCAAAAAAGAGAAAAAGAGAGAAAGAACTCATGGACATGAACCACAGTGCGGTGACTGCGGTGGGAAGAGGGGTGGGTGGAGATGGAAGGGGTATAGGTAGAATAAATGGTGATGGAAAAACAAAAATGAAAGATGACAGTCTTATTGCTGAACCTCTCACCCCACCACACCCTCCCCACCACATCCTCACCACCTCTGGCAGGACTTCACAGGAGTGAGGAATAAACTCCTATTGTATTAAGACACTATCTGCTTTATCTGTTATAACAGCAAGTATTTCCTTAACTAATACACTTCCCTTCCACATGACTCACTCTGTTTTCCCTTGGGTGAGCTCTTTAGCAACACTTCCAGCTATTGGAGAACATACATGACACAAGAACAACAATCACTAGATAGTACCTGTGGTTGTGTATGGGGGTAATGGAGTAAACTTTGAAGTCAGACTGAGCAGAGCTTGGGGTTCAAATCCTGGCTCATTAAGTGACAGATAGGTTTAGTTCCTTAGAAAAGTTAACTTAGTCTCTCTAAGTCCATTTACTCATCTGTGAGATGGAAGTAATCAAATACGTACCTTACAGGCTGCTGTGAGAAATAGAAATGATGGTACACAGAGCATTTGGCATATACTAGGTTTGCTCTTTGTTTTAATTCCTTCCCCACCACCTCCCTTTAAATGTCGGTTTATACTATGACTGCTCTTTGAAATAAAGCATGTCTTCAATTCCAACCCAAGAAAGGTTATCTCTCTTTGCTGCTGCTATTACCTATATCCTGTCATTTCTAGAAACCATGCTTTGAAAATAAGTCATTTTATTTTTCTGTCTCTAATATGCTACAGACAATGGTTTAAATAGGGGGCAGAGGATAGATTGTGAATTTTGTGTAGGGCTAGGACAGTAGTCAGCAAACTCAATAGTCAACAGAGCCAAATATCAACAGTACAAGGATTGAAATTTCTTCTGAGAGCCAAATTTTTTAAACTTAAACTTCTTCTAATGTCACTTCTTCAAAATAGACTCACCCAGGCCGTGGTATTTTGTGGAGGAGCCACACTCAAGGGGCTAGAGCCACATGTGGCTCGCGAGCTGCAGTTTGCAAACCATGAGGCTGGGGGAAGAAAGAATCCCTTTGCACAGGAATAATGAACCAGCAAAGGCAATGGTGGTCTAGTCCTCTGAGACTGCTCTGAACACCTTCCGGCAGCATTAGGCTCCAGTCTCTCAGCTCTTAGCAGCATCAGCTCTGGTGGAAGCCAAGCACCTGAACAAATCCCTAATGTGGCTCTATTGTGGCTCACCGCTTTTCATGGAACTGTTCATCTAATTTCTTCATGTAGAACAATTAACACACAGGGAAGGGAGAGCAAACGAAGAGAATTCTGGCCGTCTGCATAAGGCTGCTTTGCAACCTGTTCATAATTGTTCCGCCAGCACCTCAGAGGGCCCAGACTGAGAGAAAAGATGAAGCCCTGTCCTGGGAATCAAATGTGTCTTGGGCCTGATAATGTGCCTTGGAATTCACCTCCTGTCCCTGAAGACGGGCTCTCTGGGTCCTGCTGCTCTGACCAAGGTGAGGGGGCTTGCTTCAGAGGAGAGCATGGCACAGGAGGGGAAGACAGTTTTATTCTTGGGTTGCTCAATGGTGTGGTGTCAGGATTCTCAGGGAGGCGTATCTCAAGCAACTTCTTACAAATAATGACCACATCTACAAGTGATTGCCCTTTTAGAATGCAAATTGTGGTACAAAAAAGACCGAGTAACAGAAAGATAACAAAGGAAATGGCAGGTAAATTGTGACAAGAAAGGGTCTGGGAGTTGGGTTTTTATTAAACTCTATCAGCCCACCTAATTGCTATTCTTAGAGCTCCTATGTGCTTCATTGCATAAGTCTGTATTTTTCTTTTGTCAGGATAACCTACATTGCATGTTTGTTTGTTTTAATTTATTTTATTGATTTTTTTACAGAGACGAAGAGAGAGTGAGAGTGAGAAACATCAATGAGAGAGAATCATCGACCAGCTGCCTCTTGCACACCCCCCACTGGGGATGTGCCCGCAACCAAGGTACATGCCCTTGACTGGAATCAAGCTGGGACCTTTCAGTCCGCAGGCCGATGCTCTCTCCACTGAGCCAAACCGGTTTTGGCTACATTGCATATTTTTTAAAGGTACTGACTATGTCTTCATTTTCACACTGAAGAGCCTGAGGCCCTGGGAAGAAACAAGACCGCCGTAGTGGACACTAGAACTTAGATCTGTTGGCTCTAAGTCCGCTTCTCTTTCCATCCTCTTAAAATAGCAGTTTTAAAACTTATTATAGTACGCACCAGAATCACATAGAAGGCGGGTTAAAACACAGATCCCTGGGTCCTACCCCCGAGTTTGTGATCCAATAGGTCTGGGGTAAGACTTAAAATTTTCATTCCTTGCAGACTGGTGCAGCCACTATGGAAAGCAGTATGGAGTTTCCTCAAAAAAATTAAATATGGAACTGCCATTTGACCCAGTGATCCCACTTCTAGGAATATATCCTAAGAAACCCAAAGTACCAATCAGCACATAGCAGCACAATTTAGTATAGCTATGATCTGGAAACAGCCTAAATGCCCATCAGCAGATGAGTGGATAGAAAAGCTGTGGTACATCTATACCACATTATACTATGAGCAGTAAAAAAGAAGAATTTATTAAACTTTGAAACAGCATGGAGGGACATGGAGAGTATCATGCCAAGTCAGTGATAGGCAAATTCATTAGTCAACGGAGCCAAATATCAACAGTACAACGATTAAAATTTCTTTCGAGAGCCAAATTTTTTAAACTTAGACTTCTTCTAACGCCACTTCTTCAAAATAGGTTTGCCCAGGCCGTGGTATTTTGTGGGAGAACCACACTCAAGGGGCCAAAGAGCCACATATGGCTTGAGAGCCACAGTTTGCCGACCACGGTGCTAAGTGAAATAAGTCAGTCAGAGAAAGACAAGTATCACATGATTGCACTCATATGTGGAATCTAAGTAACATAATAAACTGGTGAATGGAGAGGATCCAGAGACATGAAAGCATGGAACACAGTGTGGAATCTCTGAGAGAAGGTGGGGGAGGGTGGTGGGTGGGAAGTGATCAACCGAAGACCTGGTATGCATATATGCATGGCTCATGGACGCAGACAATAGAGTGGTGAAGGCCTAAGTCAGGGGGCAGGGGAAGGTTGAAGGGGGTCAATGGGAGAAAAAGGGGGACATATGTAATACTTTCAACAATAAAGAATTATTTTTTTTTAAGTTTGCATTCCTAATAAGTTTCCAGGTAATGCGGATGCTACACGTCATGGAACACACCTGAAGAACCACTGCACTGTCCACTTAACCAAATCCCTGTGGGGACTATTGGTCTTCAAACTCTAAACAGCTCTCTCTTCCTGCCCTCCAAAGCCCAACAAGCAAGTCAAATGCAGCAGGAGCCAGCGTTCCCACTTCTGGGCCACATCCAACTGCTCTGGTTGCTCCATCCCAGGATGGAGGCTCCGTGCCCATGAAAAACAGAGACCTCACCCTAAATGAAAAGAGGAATATCTTTCAGAGACAGAGTCTTCCAGACAGAACGTGCATTGTGTTAAAGAAATGCGGAGGGGCCAGTGCTGACACACTTTTCCAACAAGGCAATTTGTCATGGTGGTTGAGTGCAGGGTACTGAATCAGGTAGACCTGGGTTTGAGTCTTGGCTCAACTACTTGCTATATAGATAGTGTTAGGCATGTTACTCTCCAAGCTTCAGTTTCTGTGCATATAAAGTAAGGATAATAGGTACCAACTACTCTTATTAGGCTTGGAGAAAAAGACTACTTTGGGGCTAAAAGTTTGCCCAAGCCCAAGGAAAAGAGGTGCATTACTTACTAGTGGCCAAGCTCATTACAACCAGGATGTCACTTAATGATTCTTACTCTGTGCTAGGCGCTATGCCAAGTGTTTCACATGAATAATTTCATTTAATTCACACAATAACCCCCATTTTGCAAATGAGGAAACTAAAGTGCAACGTGGTTAATTAACTTTTTCAAGGTCACAGATTTTGACCTTGGGTTTGAATTTGGGTAGTCCAATCCTAGAGCCACTGTTTTAACCATCCAAGTAAGCTGGATGGTTAAAACAGCCCAACATAAGTGTAGCTCATTCACGAATCATTCTCTCTTTTTTTAAAAAAAATAAATCTTTATTGTTCATATTATTACAAATGTTCCTCTTTTCACACACCCCCCCATTGCTCTCCTCCACCAGGTTCCCACCCCACCTTCTGCCCTTTCCCTATCCCCCAATATCCTCATCCATAGGTGCACAGTTTATGTTCAGTCTCTTCCCACTTCCCCCTCTCCCCTTTTCCCCAAGAATTGTAAATTCACTCCCCTTCCATACCTCTGATTCTATTATATTCAACAGTTAATATTGTTCATCAGTTTTTTTAATTTCCTTGGTTTTTAGATTCACTTGTTGATGTTACATATTTGTTGTTCATAATTTTTATCTTTATTTACTTTCTCTTCCGAAAGAACCCCCTTCAGCAATTCATATAATTCTGGTTTGGTGGTGATGAACTCGTTTAGCTTTTTTTTTTTTTTATTAGTGAAGCTCTTTATCTGGCCTTCAATTCTGAGTGATAGCTTTGCTGGATAGATTATTTTTGGTTGTAGGTTCTTATTATTCATCACCTTGAATATTTCTTGCCATTTCCGTCTGGCCTGCATGGTTTCTGTTGAGAAATCAGCTGACAAGTGTATAGGTTATATGTAACTACCTAACTACCTGATTTTCTCTTGCTGCTTTTAATATTCTCTCTTTGTCTTTTGCTCTTGTAATTTTAATTATGATTTGTCTTGGTGTGGTCTTCTTTGGATTCCTTTTGTTTGGAGTTCTGTGTGCTTCCTGGACTTGTAAGTCTAATTCTTTCACCAGGTGGGGGAAGTTTTCTGTCACTATTTATTTCAGTATGTTTTCGATATCTTGCTCTCTCTCATCTTCTGGGACCCCCATAATTCTGATGTTGGTTCGCTTGAAGTTGTCCCAGAGGTTTCTTACATTATCTTCAACTTTCTGGATTCTCTTGCCTTCTTGCTTCTGTGGAGGAGTGTCTTCTGGCTCTTTATGTTCCAAATCTTTGACTTGATTCTTGCGATCTTCCATTCTGCTTTTAGGACTCTGTATAATATTTTTTATTTCAGACAATGTATTCTTTATTTCTTGTTGATCCCTTATCATTTCTTGTTGATCCCTTATCATTTCTTGTTGATCCCTTAACATTTCTTGTTGATTCCTTATTAATTCTAGTTTATCCCTTTTCATATCCTCATAGGTCTCGTTTATTTTATCAGCCTTTTCTAGGAGATTCTTGAACAACCTTATAAGTGTAGTCTTGAACTCTATATTCAGTTGCTTTTTGTCCTCCATTTCTTTCGTTTGTAATTTATTTCGTTGTCTCGGCATTTTTGCAGCTTCCCTGATGGGGCGGAGTTTCAGGGTGGAGCCTACAGGCTTGGCTTCCGTCAGCCACGCCCTATGCGGCTCCTGAGTCTCAGTATTCCTTAGGGTCCTTCAGTACTCCCTGCAAGCACCTCTGAGAGAAAGGTGCCCTCGATTTTCGCCTGCTACCAAACAGTCTAGGCTCTCCCCCAATGAGCCCGAAACTGGGGTTCAGTTCAGTTGGAAGTGGGGTTGCAGGTGGCATTCAGAGCAGTTGGAGCTTTTGTCTCCCCCACCAGGGCAATCCCGCAGCACAGCCAACCGTCCCTTCTCTGCCCACAATGTGCGTGCCTCCGGGACCTCCTTTCGCTGCTCCCCCAGGGTTCCGCCTTACAGCCCAGCTCCCTCTGTTTGAGTCTGGGTCCCTGGGGTCTGGCCTAGAACTGGGGTTCAGAGCAGTCGGAACTGGGGCCCAGCACAGTCAGGAGCCCCTGTCTCCTTCCCACCAGGGCAATCTGTCAGCAGAGTCAACAGTCCGTCCTCTGCGCACAATGTGCGTGCCCCCAGGGGCTCTGCCTTTCGCCGCTCCCCTGGGATTCTGCCTCACAGCCCCTGCTCCCTCTGTTTGAGCCTGGGTCCCCAGGGTCTGGCCTAGAACTGGAGTTCAGCGCTGTCAGGTCTGGGGTTCAGCACAGTTCGGAGCTTTTATCTCCTTCCCACTAGGGAACGCCAGCCAGGCACTCAGCCGCCCCTCCTCTCAGGCTCCGTCCTCTCCGTGCGCGCTGCTTTTACAGCTCCTCCGCTCTTCCTTCTGGTTTTTTCCTTGCTTCTCATTGTAGAATCTCCAGTCAGTCAACTTTCCTGTAGCTCTGGGTAATGTCTATTTTATATTTTAGTTGTATTTTATTGAAATTGTTGTGTGCGGCTGCGGCTAGGTGTTTACCTGTGCAGCCATCTTGGATTCTCCTCCACCCATTCACAAGTCATTCTCTTTGGTGTCAGGAAATAGGAGTGTGGGAAGAACATACAAGTAGCAAGGACATTTTTAACTTTCTTCCTTAACCAACTTCTTATCTTACTGGACCCCCACCCTCTCATTCCACCTCCTGGCCGCTAAGGAAACATTTCAGGATGGATTCTAACTAATTGAGATGTAGTTGGAATGTTGATTGTCAAGAGAAGTCAGGAAAACAAATGGCATGGGCAACACATGAACCAAGTAGCCAGTTCCAAAGACACTAAACATGAGCAGCCATTACGCATCATAGAAGGGAGGAGGGGCCGAAACCGGTTTGGCTCAGTGGATAGAGCGTCAACCTGCAGACTGAAAGGTCCCATGTTCAATTCTGGTCTCTATCCCTCTTCCTTCCTCTCTTTAGAAAATCAATAAAATATATTTGGAAAAGAAGGAGGAGGAGGAGGAGGAGGAAGAGGAGGAGAGGGAGGGGGTGAGATATATGTGGGGAGGGGTTTGGGATGGGAATGGGGGGATGAGGACAATTATGTGATACCATAATCAATAAAATAAAATAAAAATAAAAAAAGAAAATAGCCTCAGTTTCCATTTCCAAAGAGGGAGAGAAAGAATGTAAAGCCCTGGCAAGGAAGTCCTATGTGGGGGTATCTGAATACCAGAACTCACCAAGAAACGTATTCTATCAATAGAATAAAATTTCCCTTCCAATACACTTACAAGTGCATGAGGGCTCATTTGGACTAGAAACACCATCTCTCACAATATTTGTAGCTGATCTTAGAATTTTTAAAAAATATATATATATTTTATTCATTTTTTTACAGAGAGGAAGAGAGAGGGATAGAGAGTTAGAAACATCAATGAGAGAGAATCATTGATCAGCTGCCTCTTGCACCTCCCCTACTGGGGATGTGCCCACAACCAAGGTACATGCCCCTGACCAGAATCAAACCTGGGACCTTTCAGTCTGCAGGCTGACGCTCTGTCCACTTAGCCAAACCAGTTTTGGCTGATCTTAGAATTTTTTATTTCCTCCCAAGGCCACTGCCATATGTGGGAAGCAAAAGACATGTCGATTACCTGTTTTTCCAACAGGACAAGGGTTTGGAGGGTCAGGGTAGCCCTGATCCTCACTGAAGTCCTTGGGAATGTTGTCACCAGTCAACTCGGCCACAATGTTTGGGATGTTGCCCAAAGGACCCAAATGCTGCAGACCTTCATGAGCTCCACCTGCGGGAACCAGAAGCAGTTCGTTTCAGTGCAGTTACATTCGTTTAACAAATATTGAATCAGGCATGCCATCCATGCAATGCTCCGCGCTCTGTGCTAGGGAGAGAAAAAGAACCAAGCAATTCCTGCCTTTGGTAAAATTTTTAAAATTTAGTTGTAGAAACAGACACATATATAGAATATATGTATATATTATACATATATCTTTTCTACACAAAGTGCACTGTATACGTTCTAGAATAGAAATGTCAACAAGCATCATGGAAACATAGAAAAGGGGGAGTTTCATTTCACTGATGTGAGGGGGAGGGTTTCTTGGGCCAAATGGGACATGAGCAGCACTGACTCAGGTGGGTAGGGCTTTGGAAGCTGAGTGTGGAGCTTGTGGCCTGGGTGAGGGAAGGTGGGGGAAGGGAAAAGTGAGAACAGGCTGAATGACAACCCATAACCACCAAGGGTAGGTAAAGAAAAAAGTCACTGCCATTCTAGATCAGCCACTTCACATTCAGTGTATTTACTTTAATCATTTCTTCTCTGCATAGCTTTGTATGCATAAATGTTTATTCATTTTTTACTTAATATTAAAACACAAGAGTCTTCCGTGTGGCTGCACAGTCTCTGTGAATGGCTATGTAGCTTTCTAGCCAGTGGCTCGACCACAGCATATCAATCATTCCCCTATGTGGGACATTTAGTGCTTCTCAATTTACTCTTAAGAATCATTTTTTCCATGTTTTGGATTAATCTTCCTCAGTATTGATTTCCGTAAGTCAAAATACAAGGTCAAAGGCTATAAAAAATTTGACGGCTCCTTATGTTATACTAGAGGCCCAGTGCACCACATTCGTGCATTAGTGGGGGAGGTTGAGGAGGGGTCCCTCAGCCTAGCCTGCACCCTCTTGCAGTCCAGGACCCCAGGGAGTGGGCTTAAGCCAGCAGACGGACATCCCCCCGAGGGGTACTTAGCCCTGCTATGGATAGGGTCCCACCACTGCCACTGTGCTCCCCAGCTGTGAGCTTCTGGCTGAGCAGTGCTCCCTCTGTGAGAGCACACTGACCGCCAGGGGGAAGCTCCTGCATTAAGCAACTGCCCTCTGGTGGTCAGTGCACATTATAGTGACCGGTCTTTCCACCGTTGAGTCAATTTGCACATTAGCCTTTTATTATATAGGATTGCCAAACTGCTCTCTTAAAAAAGTGCTACACATGTTTAGAGACCTTGAAGATCTCTTTTGTATTTCCCTTTTCAGGTAAGGTTTTTATTATAATGATTCTGAAGGTAATAGTGGGTTAACAAATTCTTTTTATTTGAGAACATTGATTTGCATGCACTGGTTTCAACCCACACAATATCAAATAAATGGGAAATAAGTCTTGTAAAAAGAGAAAAAAAAGGAGGTTCAATTTATAAAGTATCTGCAACAAAATATGAGTCTATTACTTCTACAGCATCTTTATCAGCACTGGGTTTTATACAAATAATTGTTATATCTTCTTTGCTAATTTAAAAGGCTCTGAGGGGAAAAAAAAAAGTACTATTTATTTGTAATGTCATTGATTACTGGGTTAGTCAAATATCTTTCCATGTGCTTATTACTAGTTTTCATTTCTTTTTTATGAGTTGTCTGTTCATGCCCTTGGAACTTCAGTATTTCTAATATAAATGCGTATGACCATTCTGTATAATAAAGATATCAGGATGTCACATTTTCTGCAAAGATTTTCCCATATCATCTGACTTTGAATTCTGGATATTATGGTGATATTTTCTTAATGTAAGTTTTTAATATTTATAGAGTCAGATTTGTTGCTGTTATTCCCCTTTGTGATTTCTTGCCATCCTTCTAAACTTACAAAATCCTATCCTTTCAGAACTACTACCCTGTTTCCCCCAAAATAAGACAGTGTCTTATATTAATTTTTGCTCCCAAAGATGCACTAGATTTTATTTTCAGGGGATGTCTTATTTTTCCATGAAGAAGAATACGGTACACATTTATTGTTAAATGAAAATAAAGGAATAAATTTATTACCTCTATACAGTATGGTAGTACGTTAGTTGTCAACACAAACCAGACAAACTGTGAATCCTACAGTATCAAGAATTTACTCATTTATTCAATGACAATCATGTCATTAACTTCTGGAACATCAACATAACAATCCAATTCCTGAATTTCCTGGTGAGTTTCTTGTGACTCCATTTCTTTCAGAATCAGTGGACCAAATCTCTCATGTTTAGCAATAGCACTGTCTTTAAATGAGTACTTCTTGTCAAGGTAGCCTGCTCGCAGTGCATTTGCAATGCAACTGTCAGTGATTTTCTCCCATGAATTCTTCACCCAAGTCACAACTTCTTGAAGTTTAGGTTTCACAAAGTTTCCACGCTGATTTCTCTCTATTCTATTTTCAATGTAGTCATTAATTTCCATGAGCAAATTGTCTTTGAATGGCTTGTTTATTGCAATATCAAGAGTCTGGAGATAGGCCATCATTTTTGCGGGAATCATTATCTGATCTATTTTTCTTTCGTGAAGAAATGTCTTCATATCTTTAGCGCGGTGAATGCTGGCTGCATCCCAGCCTAGCAGACCTCTTTGGCTCCCTCACATAACAAGCGGCAGCATTAAATCAACCCACTTCCTTATAACTGCTTGTGTGGCCCAGGCTTTTTCAGTTTCAAGAATAAAAACGCCCAAAACACGTTAAATCTTTTCCTTCTTGCCCTTAGAAATGATTAAAGGTGGGATTTTAGTGCCATCCAGATGAATTGCCAAAATATAGGAAACACGTGCACCTTTGTAAGCAGTGGAGGGAATGTACACTAAAGAGGCACCCCACTGTTCAATTGTTGTTTGAGATGATTGGCCCATAAAAACTGCAGTTTCATCCATAGCAATCATGTTGGAAAGATTGTATTTAGAGAAGTCAGCATCATCAATAAAGGACTTGAATGCAAGTGCTCGCTTAATAACTTGAGTATCTTCCAACCTAAACAATGTTGTAGATCTTCTTAAAGACAGTTCACTTCGCTGAAGGAAATTATCCAGCCAGTGTTGTGATGCTTTGAAGTCTTTGGGGGCTATGTCAAAGTGTGGTGCCATTGCAAGGACAAATTCTTGAATCTGAGCCCTATTCACAACCAAAGCCTCTGCTCTCCTGTCAACAACCCATTCACAGATCAGGTCTTCCAGTTCGTAAAATAATGGTTGCCAACCTGATCCACACTTGCACTTTTTAGCATTTCCCTTGTCTACTTGTTCAATGAGGTTACCATACACTGCTCACCATTTTCAGAACAATTGGATACTCAACATATTCTCTTTCAGAAAGCAGTAAGATTTTAGCCCCAAGAGTCTTCACAATTCCTTTCTTGTACTCCACGGAGTAGCTTTTTCTTTTTGGGCTCATTTCTAGGGGTAAAAAAAAGGAATTGGGGTATCAAGGTGTGGGGAGGGGGATCACTTAAAATGACACAGGGGAGATCAGAGGGGGGAATCAAAATGGCACAGGAGAATCAGAGGAGGGAATTACCATTTTAGTAACCCCTGTGTCATTGTGATTGCCCCCTCTAATCCTCCTGTGTCATTTTAAGTGATCCCTTTCCCCCCAACCCTGTGCCATTGAACACCTTCACCAGACACCCCCTCTACCTCTTTATCAGACATTTATCCCCTGGGGCCTGCCTGGGGACTGTCACTGGGCTTGCTGGGGCCTGGATCTGGGCTGGAGCAGGGTCTGCCACTAACTGAGAACCTTCAGTCATCATGAGGGCGGCCGCATCAGGCAGTGTCACCAGAAACAGACCAGCACTCACCACCTTCGCCATGTCCAGTCCGCTCTAATTCTCCTGTTCTTCTACAGGCATCTGCGAAAGTCTCCTCCTCTCTCCCGCCCTGCACTCACCACTCACTCCGACCTCCACTCCACCTCCACACAGAAGTGATGTCAGGACTCCGTATAATGTCACTGGTTGCTAGACACCAGTCGGGGCGGCCCTAGCAACCAGTTTACGGTAAATTAATTTTCATTCTGAGACAGAGCCCAGGGGGGGGACTTACTTTGGGGGGGATGCCTTATATTTCACTCAGAAGGAAACCTGTAAGTAGGTCTTATTTTCGGAGGATGTTTTATTTTTGGGGAAACACGGTACCAACATTTGGATATTTCTTTTAGCTTTTCTATTTTTAAAGTTAATTCTTTTGTCCACGTGCTCTTATTTTAGTGCATGTTAAATACCTAACCAATTATCCCATCAGAATTTAATTCTGTACTTCCCCACTAAGTTCAACGAATACTTACATGCCCCATACATAGCAAAATCTGCTCTGAGCACCAATCACAGCAGTAAATAAACACAATGTACATTGTGTAACATGCTTTACTTGTAAGTACAAATTTTTTTCTTGTACCCTTAATCCTACCTAATAAAGAGGGAATATGCTAATTGACCATCCTACCCTCACAAAGATGGCAGCGCACACAGTCAATAGGAGGGAATATGCTAATTGAATGCCATGCCCTCAGGGATGGCAGCACCCGCAGCCACAAGATAGCAGAGCCCAGTCTCCTCAACCCAGCCAGGGTGGCAGGCACTCGGCACAGCCTGGCCCACCCGCAGGTGGGTCTGGCTGCTCCGCACGCCTGCCTCCAGAGTCTGCCAGTCCCCTCAGCCCCTCAGCCACCCAGGGCCGCCCAAGGTGCAAGTAACTTGGGCTGACAGAAGCTTGCACTGCTGGCAGTGGCAGCAACAGAGGTGTGATTGGGGGCATTGCATTCCCCTGATCGCCAGGTCACCTCCCACCCCTGAGGGCTCCCAAACTGTGAGGTGGACAGGCTGTGCTGAGGGACTCCCCCTTCCAGTGCATGAATTTTCATGCACTGGGCTTCTAGTATATTATAAGGCACGGGAACCTTACTCTTCCAGCATAAGAGCAGGCCATTTCTTGGAATAAATTTCTATTTATTAACTTTAGTGGGGCACAGAGGCCCCACACTCC